AGAGAATCTTTACAATAAAACTTGTTTTATACATTCACAAATACAATCAAGTGCAACGTATGTAAAAAAAGTAGCTTCAGTCGTTATTGTGCATTCGAAACGCGTAATAAACATACACGTCGCAGTACCTCGCTTCTATAAAGCAGAAGTCCTAACTAGACGCGAGACACTACCAGTGTCTTAATATGCAATATTGAATTGAATTACATATATATATATATATAGAGAGAGAGAGAGAGAGAGAGATAAGACAATTAATTATTTATTAATTACAGATTTTAGAGCAAGAGGAAAGAGAGCAGGAGTTAGGAGACAGGAACAAAAATTTATGAATTTCCTGTTCAAGTTATCATTTTCCTCTTATTATTGGGGTCCGAGAAGAGGACGAGGAATAGGTGGAAGAGGAGGTTATCAAAATCAATAGAAAAAGGTATATTTAGAATATAATTATTCAATTAGTTTTTCGAAATTGTATTTAATTTATTGGTTAATTTATTATATATGGTTTTTACAATTATAAATCTAATATTAATATATTAATATAATTATATTTTATATCAATGCAATATATATATATATATATATATATATGTTCTTAACGCAGACGAAATAAACACCGTCAATCTTGGTAAAATATGCTTCCATGGTATACCTGACGAACCTGGTGGTCTGAGGCCTCTGTGTTGGAAGCTACTGCTGAATTATTTGCCACCGAAGAGGTCCAGTTGGCTGGAGACTCTCAAGCGCAAGAGAGAGTTGTATGACACTTTTATTGAAGATCTCATTGTTATGCCGGGAGAATCTAATGCGGATGACAAAGAAAGAGTCGATGTGACGTTACATGATCATCCTCTCAACTTAAATCCGGATAGTAAATGGCAAATATACTTTAAGGATAATGAAGTTCTCCTCCAGATCGATAAAGATGTTAGACGACTATGTCCAGACATATCATTTTTTCAACAAGGCACTGATTATCCATGTCAGAAAATAGTCAATGCTAATGACCAGCAACGTTTACATAATAGAGTTCAACACATTGTACTGATTACGCGCCATTGGCTGAAGGCGGTGAAGCGCATTGGGAAGTTTTAGAGAGAATACTCTTTTTATACGCCAAGGTTAAATCCTGGTCAAGGTTACGTGCAGGATATGAATGAAATAGTCGGACCTATATATCACGCATTTGCTTGTGATCCAGATCCAACATGGAGAAAACACGCCGAAGCAGACACTTTCTTCTGTTTTACCAATCTAATGGCTGAAATACGTGATTTTTTTATAAAGACGTTGGATGAAGCTGAATTTGGAATTAATTCAATGATGAGTAAATTGACAAATCAAGTTAGAGCTAATGATCCTGACGTTTGGCTGCGTCTGCATCAACAAGAATTGTGTCCGCAATATTACAGCTTTAGATGGTTGACGCTTCTTCTTTTGCAAGAATTTCCTCTTCCGGATGTTATAAGGATATGGGATTCCTTGTTTGCTGATGAGAATAGATTCAGTTTCCTTATACATATCTGCTGTGCCATGATTCTATTATTAAGGGACCAGTTGCTGGTTGGCGATTTTGCTACGAATGTTAAACTCCTACAGAATTTTCCATCGATGGACATTCAAATCGTGCTCTCTAAAGCGGCTGCTTTGGCGGGCAAGACTTTATAGTTTTTGTAATGATTATTTTTCTTGATTAAGTCGTAAATGAGCTGCAGTGATTTTTCGGCATGTCGAATATTGTGATCTTTGCCTCTCCTCTTTCTGTGCTGTCCGCGATATACACATAAATTTATACATCATCATAAATGATATATAAAGTGCATATAATTTGTATATTGCTTTGACTCGCATTTATGATTTTGAAAAGACTGAATATAGAGAGACATTGTTGACTTGTACTACTTAATCTACCTATATTCTAACTTTGCGCACAATAAAATTACGATATATAAAGTATGTGCATTTTTTATTAATTCTGCGTTTATGATATTATATTATGATAATATTAATCTAGAAGAGAGGTGCAATCAAAATATCAATTGAGATATAACATAATCATGTATATATAAAGCTTACCGGTAGCTTGATAAAAGATATAATTTGGCATTTATGTTATATGAAATAGTTAACACAACTGTATATATGGCACACGCTCAACGAATATTGATTACAAAAAAGCAGCATTTTTAGTGCCACATGTCAAATTAAAAAAAATAAAAAGATTAGATCATAAACAAGTTTATATTTTATTATTATATAACCAGGATATTCTAGAATTCTAAATCTACAACAAAGACATTAATGTAATTTATATATACAGAGTGCCAAAACTTTGATGTTGAAACTTAGTAGAATCACGTGCATTTACAGTACAGGCACTACACTGCCATAAACATGAAGCTCTCTTACTATAGAAGTTTTTTCTTTTAATTCTGATATACAAGAAATTATAAAATTTATTAATAATTATTAATTACATATTGATACATGTATACATCATATAGTCTACAAAATAAATCTTTCAAGTACATTTCTTTAATCTGAGTAAACCAACTAGAATATCTTGCATAGTATCTTCATATGATATACTAAAAAATATACATATATGTATTATGTATAATCTATCATAAATGTATATATTATGCATATGATTTAATATTGTTATATTTACCTTACTAATGGCACAGGTATATCACGTACGCGATAAACCCGTGTCCACGGTGGTATTAAGGACAGAATACAAGCTATAAGATCGATCAATACACTCGGTGCATAACTTTTGTATCTTCCAGTTTTCAATAACCACGTATGACAAGTGTCGGATACATTTTTAATCCATCTGATCGAAATGCAGGATTTCTACAAATTATAATATTTATATAACAATATATAGAAGTAATAAGAAATAATTAAGTTAATTAATATGTACAAGCTAGAGAACCATTACTTACAATAAATTGATATACATCTCGTTCAAAGTCAACATTTGGTAAATCTGACATCATGTGAGCTATCATCACTTTGAACACTTTAAATATTCTGATGTATTCGTATATTATGTGATATATTTTTTTATATAATATATAATTACATATATGCAGTATCACATGTTTAGTATATCATAAACATATTCTTTTATAAATATATATTTATATAATGATATTTGCAACTTTTTGATATTTATTAAATACTTTTATTATTATGTTACGTTATCATTTTATTTATACTATTTCTTTCATAATAATTTTCTGCAACGCTACCATTGTACTACATCTTTCATAAGTATATAAATTATAAAAAAAGGAATAGTAGGATGGTAGTGTAGCAAGAAAGTAATTATTTTTATGAAAGAAATAGTTTAAAATGATAACGTATCAATATTTATTTTATACCCCGCACGTCAATATTTATTATTTTTTTTTTACATAACCCCGCACGCTACTAATATCGCGGAGCACCACTAACGCCGTCTGTTGTAAAACGTGCGAGATGGACAAAATTACCACTACATGCATCTTGCATGTGTTGTGTACGTGTGATATATGTGTGCGCATGTGTTGTATACGTGTGAATACGTGTAGCACGATACTACTATGTATGCGTGGTCGATGATGATAATGATGATGATAATGATGATAATGATGATAATAATGATGACGGGGACGTTTCTTAATAGAAATTTTTCATATTTCGACTTTGCATTTATATATCTCTGCTTACAAATCATGTAGAGCAGAAATAAAGACACTTTTATTATATAATTCGAACTCAATCTATCGATTAAGTCTAGTATAAACTCGATTGCTTCAGCCATTATTGAGGATTCGAAATATTATAAAGACTCAAATGTCCGACTCGCGTTAAGATACACGGTGTCTCCGCTACGCCCTTAACTGGTCGCGAGACACTACCGTGTCTCTTGATGCATCGGATCAGATGGAAAATCATTCACCATATTTATATTAGGAATCGATTCAAGTATTGATGTACCTATATGATGGTTTTCTTGTAATTTTAATCGGAAATCGTTATCTGTTCTTAATTGACAACTATTTAAATATGGATAAGTCATTCTATTGAGATAATATTTGCCCTTAGCTGTACATTTAAAACATGCGTAATAACCCGAATGACCCTTTGTATAAGTAATAAAACATCTAGCAGGAACATCGCATATAAAAGATTTAATTTTAAAAGAATAAGTGTGATCTTTAATTTTTATACCATGAATAGTTAAATTTTTTGCTTCTTCTGTGAAAGATTGTAAAAATACATTGGCATCTGTGGGTTTTTCATGTCCATGATAAATTCCAATGACATCAACTTCATTGTAATTTTCAACTAAATTACATAAAATGGGATAAACTTGACTACTTGAACTTTTGAATAATGGCAGGCCATCGATGTTAATGTTAACTTCAATACAGTGTAAATTTTGAAAAGAACATCGCGATAAAAGTCTTTCGATGCAATTACTTAAACCGAAATGATAGTAATGCCCTGGTGCAACGACGTCTACATTGATTTTTCTGGGAGTTCCTAATAAACTGCGAGCATTTTTAGGCAATTCCGGATATTTAAGTTTCATATTAGATATTAATTCATTTAACGCAGTATGAGTTATATTATTTTTAATTGCCCATTCTTGCAACCAAGATATAGAATTTGGAAAATCAATAGTGGAATTTATAGATTTAAAGTTATTCACAAAATTTGTAGATTCAAAGTTATCAAAATTATGTTCTGTATCATCGGGATCACGGTCCGAATTATAATTATTCACGGTTTCTAAATCATTATTGATATAAAAATTATTGCAATCCTCTAAATTATTATTTGAAACTGAAGGTGTACTTTCTAATAATGGCATTAAATTCTTATTTTGAACATTATTAATTACTAAATTAGTTATCTCTTGTGCTCTTTGATAATATTTTCTTCTTATTTTTGGCATTTTTAAAATTAATATTAAAATTTAAAATTTATTAATATTTTTCTACCTTTAATTAATTGATGAAAATCCGTTGAAAATTCGAGAATCGATAGAAATAATAATCTAAAAAATTTATAAATAACGCTATTAGCAATCAGTACAAAAACATTTAAAAAATAAAACAAATAAACAATAATCGGAAAAAAGCGTTGATTTAGTAACGAATGTCCCATGTATACAGGGTGTTTCAGAAATAAATCGCCAAACTTAAAAAGCATATTTTATTTACTGTAAAGATGAAAACAATAACAGATTTTAATAAATCTTTTATAACAGATTTTAAGAACATTTGAAACTGTAACATTTCATTACAGAAATTGTTGAAAATAATTTTTTTCCACATTAATGCACGTGTCGCATCGACATCGCATAGATATTATCGAAGACGTCCAAAAATTCTCGAAATATTTATTTTGTCACACGAAATGATAATACGATTTCGGAGTACTTTCACAGTAATAATACAAATATCATAAATGATTCTATAATATTATTACAGATCCATCTAATAACTTTTTGTTTATTTCTAATAAAAAGTGAATAGGACAATTCATGAAACGAAGCAAGATATATGTTGCCCGATGTAAATAAAAAATGTTTATAACTTGAAAAGAAAGCTGTTCCGAATGTTTATATACTTTTTATCATTATAGTGAGTAGAATATGCTCTTAAAGTTTAGTGATCTATTTCTAAAACATTTTGTGTATAGATTATTATCATTAAAGATTATAGAACATAGGAAACGAATATGAAAACGAAAACGTTCAATCAATTATATAATGAATGAAGGAAATTATGCGTGCGTGTGTGCGTGAATGTGACAAAATTATTATTATATAATTATAGTAAAACGTCTTACCTTGATAAATTTCTAGCAAATGTCCAATAGATTGTGCAATGGTCGCAACCTCACAGCACTACACTACGTGTATGTATACGTGCTTACAATCGTCGACCGAATAAGGAAAGGTTCACTGACCCAAACATTACACTATCCTATAATAAGGATTCGCGGTTGTTTTGGTCTTGCGCATCACCGCGTGCGAGTACCGCGACGTCAAGGACGAGACGCAGTACCGTTAATTCTGACGGGGACATGTGCCCCGATAATAAATAAAAGTAAATTTATAGATTTAAATAAAATAAGTTATTATTAATAAATTATATTTAATTGGTATATAAAAAAATAATAATTTTAATATAAAAATAATTAAACTAAACATTAGTGTAAAAATAATTATAGTAAAAAAATATTGCGATACTAAAATAAATATTTAATAATAAAATACAATAATTATTTAATAATAATAATAATAATATACATATATTTTGATCGTGGCATTAAAAGAACAGATTTTGTAATATTAAAAATTATTTCTCAAATATATAAGTTTAGTTATAACATTAAATGATACTATAAAAACATTTTCAAACATTTTTTTATATATAAGTAAATGTTAAAAAATATTTGTTGTGATATATTTATTAATAACATATTTTTAATATATAATGACATATATTCAATAAAAATTAAAGGAATTTTTGAAAAATATTTTAAAACATTTTATAGGAACAAAAGGCAAATATTTTTTAAACGTTAATATAAAAAAAATCAGTATTTAAATTTGAACATATATTGAATGTCCATAGGATGTACTGTTTAGGACATTTGATTCATATCCAAAAAAGGACATCCAATTTATGCCCTATTTATGTCCATGGACATATGGACATAAATTGGATTTAAAATGTACGTCCATAATACATCCAGTGCTATCTGGGAATACTTCTATTTTTATTTATTATAATATTTATTAATTTGTTTTTTGCTATTTTTTATATACTTTTATGCTAAGGTTAGCTAATAACGTTAAGGAAAATGGGAAAAAATTGATAATAAAGGACAAATATTGCTAATAAAGAGTTAAAGAAAACTATTATTTAAAAGAATTATTTATAAGAATGATATTAAACTGAGTAATCACATTTCTTGGCAAATAGTGTAATTTTTCTCTGTATATAGTGTGGAGATAGAAAATAGATTTAAGTTTTCTTTAATTGTACATACCTCGATTTTCTATATAACTATCGCTGATATTGATGAGCAGAGACTTTTTATATTTATCCTCTTTCTCACTAATCGTGGTATTAAACCGGGAAAAATCCAATATTCCGCGGTTAAAATAAAGGTTATGTAGACACGTGGCACGAGGATTATTCCTATAAAAGAATAATATAATTAAATAAATAAAAAAACTGGATTTTCGTCGGCCGCACAAAAATTAATTAATTTAGCGATTGACTGATCCATAAAAACGCATTTCTTCCATAATACCAATCCACACAACATGCGTAACTCTAATCGAAAACCGTGAAAATATTTGCCACGTGTTATGCATGTCTTACAGACGTATTAGAGCCGTCTTTAATACGTCTTGAAGACATGCATAACACGTGGCATAAAATATTTCCACGGTTTTCGATTAGAGTTACGCATTTAATATACCACAAAAATATTTTTATACATGTATAATATAATCCTAAAAAAATCATAAAAATGAAAAGGTCAGGCCATGTTCAAAAGAAGGCACTCAAAAATTTAAACGATCTAATAATAAATTATCACGAAAAGTAACTGATATGTTATTCAAGGTGCCAGTTCAAAGTGAACATACGTAAAGTGTATATTATCTAAATTTAGTAATAATATATTACCATGAAAAATAACTGTGATATTTTATTCAAGGTGCAAGTTCACATTGAACATACATACATATAAGTAAAACTGATTACAATTTGATTCTAGAAAATAAGTGCGATATGTTATTCTTAGTGCACAAAATATAATAGTCGTTTATAGAGATTTGATTTGAAATTCATACTAGCCCGTACAATGAAAAATAATTGCTCGTAATTCCAGAGTACCAATTTGTTAATTACTCAGAAAAATAACATGGCGGCCTGCTCTCAAAAAACTTTCGATGGGTAGAATAAATAATTGAAATAAGAGTTGTGAAAATTGTATAAATTAAAAACCTCCAATCTTTCTTTAGTAAAATTTCGAATTTTCGTATCAACTTCCGATTTGTGTTATACCGTATTTTCAGGGAGTAAGTTATTGATCAGAAAACTTTGCCTTGTTGCTCGAAACGGGTGTATATTAAGTAAAATTTATAAATGTACAGTTCTCAGGTCAAGTACAATAAAGCTATACGCTTAAAAAGTTTACTGATTATTTGTCGTAATATACAATAAAAATTTACATATTAATTAAGTGAATAATATCGAAAATTATAAGTCAAATGAAACCTTGCTATTTAAAACCTATTCTTCATGATCGCAAGACACTATTTTCTATTTAAAAGATTTTCTTCAGAAACACAGAAGAAAAAGGTATTTGTATATAGTTTTGTATATTCACTTCGTTGTGTGTAGAGCTTTTAAAAATACGTTGAATCCTTATTCTAATCTAATCTTCTTCTAATGTAATACTTTTCGTACTTCAAATGTTGTAGTAATTATTCTGTAAGAGCTTCGACATTATTTCTAAATGGACATCGAGAAACATCATAGTTTTTTGAGAGCAGGCCGCCATGTTATTTTTCTGAGTAATTAACAAATTGGTACTCTGGAATTACGAGCAATTATTTTTCATTGTACGGGCTAGTATGAATTTCAAATCAAATCTCTATAAACGACTATTATATTTTGTGCACTAAGAATAACATATCGCACTTATTTTCTAGAATCAAATTGTAATCAGTTTTACTTATATGTATGTATGTTCAATGTGAACTTGCACCTTGAATAAAATATCACAGTTATTTTTCATGGTAATATATTATTACTAAATTTAGATAATATACACTTTACGTATGTTCACTTTGAACTGGCACCTTGAATAACATATCAGTTACTTTTCGTGATAATTTATTATTAGATCGTTTAAATTTTTGAGTGCCTTCTTTTGAACATGGCCTGACCTTTTCATTTTTATGATTTTTTTAGGATATCACTTACTTTTTAAAGTACAGATATATAGAGCAGCTTTCTATAATAGTAATTCATGTATAAATTAATAGTAATTCAAGTATCACAAATATATGTATTTTCGATTCTTATCACATAACTTTGTATAAGTAACAATTTATGCAATACAGTTCAAAATAATTGAAATATATGGTATATATGTACATATATAAAATATATAATTATATTATAGTATACATATATATTTTATTTAATCATATATGTAAATGTTTGTATAATTGTAATAACTTTTAACGATACATTGCACATTTATTTCAATTGCAACAGAATGAATTTATATTCTTGTATGAATATTGAAAATAAAGAATGGGCCCCTCCATCGCCCATTCTCGTGAGAACGCAACCATATATTTTTCTTCGTCTCTCCGATTTTAACACGACATACATATTTATGTCTGATAATTTTTTTCTTGATGATACTTTTTGAAATGTCATGAAGCCTAGGTCAAATTAGAAACTTATTGCACTCGTTTTAACGCAGCGCTTACAGCAGCTTTTATAAAGCGCCAGAGCAGCCGATATTTTATTTTGGCGCTTACGGCAACTTTTATACAGCGCTAGAACAGTTGATGTTTTAATGTAGCGTTTACGGCAGCCTTTATACAGCGCCAGAGCAGCCGATGTTTTATTTCGGCGCTTACGGCAGCCTTTATACAGCGCCAGAGCAGCCGATGTTTCATTTCGGCGCTTACGGCAGCCTTTATACAGCGCCATTATTTAATCTGTTCTAAGAACAATATGTATGCCCCTTGTGCTCCTTTGGGCCATTTTTTCTTGAACACTTCCATATCATTAGAATAATACCATTCCGATTTTGTGTCAGCTCTCAACATACACGTGTAGTGACCACGATTCATTTCTTCACCTTCGTGAAATATAGCGCTTATTACCTTGTACTTTTTTTCATTAATCGTGATATTACTCGTCGGCACGGCGTTAATCCGATTGTTGATAATTTTTTTAGAAGCACCGTTTACAAAAGTATATAAATTGAGCTGTATTACTACGACGGATAAAGTTGATTCGATTACGGTTTTCCTTTTCAACACGGTACCCTTACATTCGTTACAATTGCCGTTTATCGTTTCCCATTTAGAAAATTCTACATTAATCAAACTTTGTAGAGTGACACCTTTTTTCCTTTTTAATGTCGAATGTATAGGTAATATTAGCAAACTACTGCTTTCCAGCTTAGTTACATTGTAATTACATTTGACATTCGAGCAACATGTTACGTGCTTTAATTCGAGTTCTAATACATCATTGATGTCGGAATACGTCGACATTAGAGCCGTAAAAAATTCCGAAACATCTTGTTGTGTTCGTTCTTCGAAGCGTTTTCCGACAGATCTTCTAACCGCTTGAATGTTGCAATATTTACGTTCACCATACGCGCAGATAGCATCAGTCAATGCATTCGATGCTTTATTTTTCAGTATTTGTTGCCTAATACGTACGCAATGAAACGCACATTGTAATATTACATTAGCGTAACACGAAACAGCATCGTTATTGCAAAGGCCATATATTTTCCACGTAACTATACTTTCTGGTTCCTCACAATCATAATTCTGCACATCATCAATGATATTAGGGATAGCCCATCGACGATCGTACATTTTCACAACCTTTTTCTCGGACCGATTGATTTGTGGCAGTTCAGATTTGAATATAGATCTCAGTCGATTATATTCCACAATGGCTCTCGAGTTTGCTTTAACTGATGCTGGATTGAAATTTATCAAATGTAGGCCTTCCAATTTACTTACTCGTGACAAACCTACATAGGCTTGACCATCACTGAATACAGTCGTTCCTAAATCCATCATTGCATTGTTACATGTAATTCCTTGACTTTTGTGTATAGTTATTCCATAACTGAGAGACAATGGAAATTGTTTCCGATGTACCACTAATTTGTGGAATACTTCAAATTTAATATCTACTTTCGTTATTGCGATTTCTTTGTTACCCGAAATAACTATTTTGATGGAATCAATACGATTGCCGTCAGCAGAGCGATTAACTGCAACTACATTGCCTATCGTTCCATTGACAAGTCCCAAAGTTACGTCAATGTTTCGTCGAATCATCAC